TTTTTATCATTCTCTATTAAGCATGCATTTATTTAGCTAAAGATAATAATTTGTCATATTATAGCTCTCATATCTCATCATTTTTAGAGTTCCAATGCTATCTTTAGCCATTAAGAAAATGTTGGTTACCTCCTCTTTTGGTTAGTTTCTAATTATTATAATTCTGAGTTTGCTCATAATTTCTTTTACAACTTTTGTTTGTCCTTCTTTGAATTTGATTTGTCCTCACCCTTATCCTTAGTTGGGTGGCTCTTTATGTTAGGGCAATCTGATCTAATGCGTCCTTGCTTCCTACACTCGAAACAAATCATGTTAGAAGAAAAAAATTTATTAGGTTTTATTATTTTACCTTTGCACTTGTCAAAGTGGTGCTTGCATTTATGTTTCAAGAAGCTCTTAAATTTACGTGTTAATAATGTAACATCTTCACTTCTATGAACACCTGAATCACTACTTTTAGTGTCGTCAATCTTTAGTGCCACACTCTGTTCTTTCTTTCATTCCACTACATCTGTATGCCTTTGGATCACATTTTTCTCATAGTCAATTTGACAGCCCAAAAGATTATAAAATAGTGTAAACATTTAAATCTTTGTATTCATATATAACATTCATTTTAGCATCCCATGATTCAAGTATACAATGTAAACTTTTATTAAACTTTTTAAAATTTGAAATCTCTTTGACCAAGGAATGCAAAGAAGTGATGCTTTTAGTGAACCTAATATACATATTTGAAATGGATTCACTAGGTTTCATGTAAAAAAGTATATACTCATGTAGCAATAAATTCAAGCATGACTGTTTAACTAGGTTGGTACCTTCGTAGGTAATGTAGAGTTTGTCACATACTCCCTTACCACTAACATAATTAGAAATATGCATGTAATCTTTATATTTAAGATCACAAAAGAAACAGTTCAAGCACTCAACATTAAGTTGCACAAGTTTTTGGTCTTTTAAAGACCATTCAGTAAACTAGATTTCTACTTTTAATCCTTTCAAAAAGTGAAACAATATAGAATATCTATATTGTATTTGTGTCACATGAAAAAATTAATTTATTGTAAAAATATTGACATACAAAATTTTCAAAAATCAAATGATATGTTATCAAATAGTGTTGGTTGGGTTATTAAAAACCCTTCCAAAGTGTTACATTTACCAAACTGTACCATGGATCTACTTAAGATATTTAAATCTAAAAATAATGGGAACCTCTCTCTAATACTAATTGAAAGTGCTTATTGTACACCAGGAGGGGGGGGGGGGGGGAATTTGTGTTTTAAAAAAACTTTTTAAATATTTTAAAACATTTTTTGCTTAAAAATAAAACTTGAAATAATGTGGAAGCGATTGAATAAAATGAATTACCAACTTAAACATCAAATCAAAGAAAATAAATATGATTTTTTTTTGTGTTTTGTAGAAAATAAATAATTTTTTGATGATTTTTTAAATCAATGATCAATCAAAACAAATCACCAAAATCCTATTGCAATCATATAATTATAGTTCAACTAGAGTGCACTAAAAGTAAGTTACAAGTAAAAATAAAGTGCAGAAAATAAGAAAAATACAAATCAAAATTTATAGTGGTTCATTCACTCCCCAAAGGTCCTCGGTATTACACGAAACAATGACTCTACTTCAGCTCATAGCTAGGTGAAGAAGACCCTCTCCTTTGACAAGGTGAAGAATAATGTTTATAGACTTATTAGATGGTCCCTTCTTTTGCCTCCTCGGCCTGACGTAGTTTCCATCCCTCCTTCCGCCTCCTCAGCTTGGTGGAGTCGTCACTTCCTCCTTTCGCTCACATGCCCAACAAGGTTGTTGTTCCCTTATTTGACCTTTGTTATGGCAGAGATGTCAACGGTGTTTGGTCCCATAGACATACTTTACCTTGAGCTCCTCCCAAGAGCTCCAAAAACACAAAACCATAGGACCTGAGGTGCAGGTCAGGCAGAGAAATCGTGTGAACCCCCTCACACTCCCTTGACACCCTCAAGATTCTTCTCCCTCTCTTAACCTCACCTCCTCTTTCTTCTTTTGCTTTGTGGACTATCTATGCTCTCTCTCATAGAAACGAAATGTGACTTGACTACAAAAAGATTCTTTCCTAAGAACAAGAAATTGTTTATAAAGAGAGAAAAAACTCTAAGTTTCAATTTAGTTGTCTTTGATCGTACAACACGATACGCATATCAAACAATACAATTAGTTCAATTTCTTCTGTATGATTCTAAATCATATGTTACGATTAGTTTAATCAAATCACCATTCATCCCAAATGAACCATGGGACAAATAAATATCATCTAGTGTGTCGATCAATTGATCGTCCTGTACGATCAAGATACCATACAATCATCAATCATAATTAATCCTGATTCAATTGATTAATGTTCAGAATTAAATTAGGCAATATAATTAAACTTAGTACAATACAAATATTTCAAATTTCAAAATTTCAAATTATCCTAATTTAAGTAATTAGACTCCAATGACAGGGATTCTAAATATAGCTAATCATCATGTATGATGTGGTGGTCATATATACATTATGATTAGTAATATCCCATGAAAAATTCATCTCATTTAATTAAATATTTTAATTATTTTTTTATTGAACAAATCATACAGTACGATCAAGATAAGATAGTATGAATATACATAGTGCATTCATGCATTGTATATTCTATTAGTTTAAATAAATTCAATTGTAATAAATATTCTAATAACAAGCTCATTCTGATCTTCTGATGTCTCTACAAAGTTTACTTATGAAAGTAGAAGTGATAACTCTGATAATAAAGATATTATGATAGTCATATGAAAGTGTTTTTTTTGGGAAAAAATACAAAGTTAAATACTATGTATAAAGTTAAAAGTAGTAATTACTAAGTTGATATTTCTGAAACATAAATGTGTTAAATCTCATATGAGTTACTTTCCATTAGTACTTAATTTATACTCAGAAATTTTATCTTATAAGTTGAATAATTTATTTATAATAAAATAGATATTGATATCTGTGATAGAGATGTGAAGGAAGACTACTAAGCTTGTTGTTCTCACTCTGTGAAATCTCTCCAATATTTTAGGGAAAGGAAAAGGACCACCCAAGCAGAGTCGATAAAGTCAAGATCTCCAGGATCATGATTTTTAAGGTATTTTATAATCCAATTATTTATTTTTTTATGTATAAACTTTATACGAACTGAATTATTGTATATGATTTTTGAGAAATAAAATTTGGATGATATTTTCGAGTATTGATATTATTTGAATTTTTAGTTGGCTCTAGTTTATTTTGTATTATGATTAAAAAAATAGGTATATGGATTTAATCCTTCCCTTAGATCCTGAGGCCATACTACTAACTTTATTATTCGCTCCAAACTCATAGCCACCTAGAATGCTTTTAAAATCTTCTGTCACTCTACCAACATGTGTATTTAAATATCCTTAAAAAAAACTCTTTATTTAAGAGGTATCATTTATATTAATTCTTCTAAGTAATTATAAAATTTTATTTTAAACATGGATCCAAACCTACTTAAGGAGTGTAAGCATTTATAACATCAAAACTCTTAGCATCAACAACAATTTTTAAAGTTATAATTTCTATTAATTTTTACAATATTATCCTTAATACTCTTGTTTATAATCACTCAACAATTTATAGTATGACTCCTACCTAAATACAAAAAATCTAAATCCTAATTTATCAATATCCATAGCCCTTTCCTAAACTCATTTAGTTTCCTGAATATATAAAATATTTATCTTCTCATGAATCTTAATTTTTATTACTTCAATTAATTTGCTTGTATGAATACTTATATATTAATTTTCTATCCTAATTATAATATTATGGATTAGCTTTTTTGCCCACATCCATTTGTGATGTGGGAACTCTTAATTAACAGTGCATATGCAGTGACCCTTGCACACTTTTTTACTGTATTCAGGCCATATAACCATTGCTTCTAGGGAACACTCTATCATTAACATAATATATCAAAAAAATTTATATCATGATTGTTCACAATTAATTCTAGATATCGACTACCTAATACAACCCTCAACTTTTCTCATCCACGACTTGAGACTTGAAAACAATTGTGTTAAACTAAGCACCTAAAAATAATCAATATTAAAATTATCTTCATCAACCAATCCATGCTATTTTCAATTTGTAATTGTGAGTTCAAATGGCCAAGCTTTGCATTGATCTTCAATAACACATTCACTAAAAGTAATAACATATCCATAGATAGCATTATAATGTATATATAAAGGCATGATTTTGTGTGCTTATCTCTCATATTCAAGACAATGAAGCCATTAACCTCATATGAATTAGATTATGAAATAATTTTCTTAGCTTTATATGTAACCCGAGCATACATCTATATTACTCAAATGAGCCAATCCCAAAAGAGAACGTTTAAACTTTTTTCGAAGTTTCATATAAAATTAATTGAAACTTGATCAACCTTGTGAGAAGTTTAGCCAATGTTAATTAGAATTTATGCAGATTTTGATTGGGCCATCTTTGAAATATGATCAAAGCTTCTTCGACTAATTATATATTTTTATTCCGAGTTACAATCAAGCTTTGAATAAGGATTTAAGAATGTTTGATTGTGTGCTAAATATGTTGCATAGAAACTTAATCGAAACTTGATCAACCTTGCAAGAAGTTTGGTCAGTGTTTCAATATTAATTAAAGCTTTTCTAGATTTTGATCGGATCATCTTTGAAAAATGATCAAAGCTTCTTCAATTAATTTTTTATTTTGATTCCGAGTTATGAACAAACTTTGACTAAGTATTGAAGATAATTTGATCAAGTGTTGAATATATTTCGATCAAAGATAGAATAAATTTTGAGCAAAGTTTAGAGATTATAATATCATGTTTAATATACTTCTAGATTTTGGGCTAATATGATAAACATATAATTTTGCTAGAAATGAAAACTTTGATAAATGTATAATACCACTTTCAATTTGAAGTCTTACTCTTCTTTCCAGAGCTCGAGGAAGGAGGAGGAGAGATACGGGGGCAATGGATTCTTTGATATCGGAAGCTCTTGTCGTCCATCAACTCTGCCCTGTAGCTCCAGTCCTTCGTCCGGCGACAAGCCTCGCCTTCTTCGTGCGCTCAGCCGTGCCGCTTTCTGTACCCCTGCTTCGTCGGCGGTTCATGGGCATTACTCCGGCGAATCGCGGAAGGATATATGCCTCGGCGAGAAACGGAGCTTTGGTATCGAATTCAGTGCAGGTACGACTCATATATTCTACCGGTGTTAATACCTAGGGTTTCGATTGGACCTGGTGAACAGCGTAGTTGATCTTACTTTTGAACAGAATATGATTCATTGAGAAGCTCAATTTTCAAAATTCGTATGACTGTATAGGTACGTCTATGCTCTGTGTTGGAGCACAACTAGGTTGGGAATAGAAGTGATCAAGGTTCAAGAAGAAAAGTTGAATGGGATCAAAATTAGTTGAGATTAGGGTTCTAAGCCACTACAATTTTTTATGATGCTGGTCGATGACAGTGTTTGGAAGAGATTTTTAAAAGTTTGTGGCGGATTTTATACATCAGATATGACATTTACGTAAATTAGCTTAGGAATCGATTTGGTTTCCAAGAATGGGAGGAGATTAACATTTATCATAAATTTAAAGGCAGGGAAAATATGCTCTCTTAGCATGTCTCTATTTCATGAAGAAATTGGAATGAAGGTGAATTGCGCATTTATTCAACTAGAGGCTCTACGAGTTAAACTCTTATGTGATGGAATTGATTGATTGCCCATTTCTTAAGTTTTATGATTTGTAAAAATAAAATCTCTTAATCTTTTGGTTGCTCTTTTTTTTGTTCTTATTTTTCATTTACTCATATACCCATGCATTATGCATATTTTAATCTTACATAAGTGATCTACTTGCCAACTTAATGCTTGTTCTTTTTTGAATTGCTTCTATATTTGTATTAACAAATGGTCCCATTTTTTGGACCTATGAAGCATGGCTGCTTCAATAGGGTGTCATTCGAATTCAGATAATCATTTATGAACATCGAAATGTATGGTAAATATGTTTTGCATTTAATTTCTGCACGCACTTTATCATCACTTGAGAAGGATGAATGGTGGGTTTCTAAAAAAAAATTACAATGAGCCTGTTTATGATGAAAATTACTTGCTGATTGTACCTTAATCTCTCACCCCCCACTACCCATATGTATGTAAGTATATTTATATATTTAAATATATGAAGAAGAGGGTGGTTTCTTGCACAATTGCTAGGTCATCAGATTGTTACTATGGGGTTATGAGTTTGAAATAGAAGACAGCCTCATGACAACGTAGGTTAATGCTTTATGTAGGCCTCTTGAACGTGCTAAATGTGTATATAGGTAAAAAAAAGTCTTATGAAATAATTAGTTTTGTGGAAGCTTGATATATGATTAGATATACTCAATTTTATCTCAACTAGGTGCCTGGTTAACTTGAGATTAGATAGTCATCAACCATAGTGTTCTCAGACAGTGAAATAACATGGGGCGTACATACTTTAGCATCATTAACATATATTAGTTTCATGCATAATTGTTGTTCATTTTTCTTTTGTAATTATTGATTGTCTGTGTTGTTACTTTGAATTTTTGGTAATTATATTGTAAACTAATTGATCTGATAATTTACAGTCAAACAATAATGTCTATACTGTTGGTGATTTTATGACAAAAAAGGAAGATCTGGTTGTTGTCAAGCCTTCTACTTCAGTTGATGAAGGTTTGTTATTTTTGTATGATTGTTGTCCTTTTGATTCTAGCATTTTTGCTAGTTGCTTAATGTTGTAATCAAATTTTATGTTAACAGCACTCGAAAAACTAGTGGAGTGTAGGATCACTGGCTTCCCTGTGATTGATGATGACTGGACATTGGTATGTTCTCATTAATATTCCTAAACTTTGATATATTGTTCCTATTCCTTCATTTGCATAAAATATCGTAATCCGTGTTTTTGAATATTCATTTCTTTACCATCTAATTTATGGTTTGTACAATTTCCTATTTTTCTTGTTTATTTTCCTGTTTGTCATTGTGAGTTAGTATGCGTTTTGTGTCTAATGTAAACTGATTGAACAACTATAGTAAATATTGGCACCAAGAGTTTTACGAATAGAGGTTTTTTTTTTTTGCATATTGGAAGAAAAGGAGAGGCCAAATGTTGTGCTGGGCATGATGTCCTGGATTGCTAGCGTCCAACAGGTTCACATAGTGGTCGAGACACTGTGAAAACCTTCTAGATGTTCATACTTCTTAGGTAGTTGCTATTTTCAGATGCCATCCAGAATATTTTTCTTTTTGCTAATTTACAAGGATTTCTCTGGTTGTTGAATTTTAAAAAATAAATTGTTGCATTTTGACACATGATTTACTGACGTCTCATTGCTGATTATGATAACTGTAATTTTTTCTTGTATTAGTTTTATATTTCTTTTTATAGATGTAGCGATGAAGGCAGACCCAAAATCTAACACGTTCAAATTTTAATATTCGAGAGTCTTCACAGACCTTGGAAATAGCATGTGCTGCAAATTTCCTTAGCTAGTTTCAAATGGCTTATAGTTTGAAAAGGTTGTGGATATTGATTTGCGTACTATCACTTATATAGTTATCTGTTCTTAATAATGTTTAGTTGTCCATTGGTACTTGAAACATTGTTAAACCCCCAAATGAATGGGTATTTATGTGTTTACTCATGCATATTTGGTATTATTCACACATACTGGTTCAATTCTTTGTATGATTTATTTGAGAGAACAGTATTTAGATATTTCCTTCTATAATTCTATGCATCTGTTGAAATTCAGTCCAATGTGCTAGTTTTTTCCTGTTTTTAATTAAAGTAGTTTTGAACCTTCATTCAGTTCATAATTTGATTTAATCCTTTAAGCATTAGAATATAGATCAGATGATGGAGAATATTATGTTTATACATGTACCTATCCACCCATCTAACAATGCTAGTACACTGATGCAAGTACTCAAGTACCAAAGAAACCATATTGCACGCTCATATGCATATATTTCGTCATTGTTCTCATAGTTTTCAAGACCATACGTGGAAACACTGAAATGTCTTTGTATCAAGTGTCCAAGGTTATTATTATTGTTTTTAAATTATCAGTTGAAAATGCGAAATGTGATTTGGTCGATAATATAGTGCCTTTGAAGTATTTGCATATCCTAGCATTTTACATGTAATTTATTTGTATAATCATAGGGAAGTTTCTAAGCTGTATAAAAAGTGGGCCTAGAGACTTCAGGAATTCTGCTACTACTTTTTTAATGCATTAGCTAATTATGTGATTTTGCATCATCCATGAAATTCAAGTCACATGTTTGGTAGAGTTATGGCGATTGCAAATGTTAGCATAGTTATAACTATTTTTAGCTTTGCCTTTTGGATTTACTTTTGTTAGACGAATGTTGAAATCTAGCTACTACAAGCATGAAATATGTTTTTGATTCAAGTTTTATAGCTCATCTACATTATCCTTTATCTTGTTTTAGTTATACTATTTTCCATTTTTTTTCCTTTTTTGGCAAAAAAAATAAAAATAAAAACATCATTTTCATTTTGCTTCCTGTAGGTTGGAGTCGTTTCTGATTATGATTTATTGGCATTGGATTCCATTTCAGGTTCTTCTTAATTTCATATTTGAGTATGGTTATTCTGGTTACTTTTGTCATTTCCTCTTCAAGTTACATAGAGTTGCTAATTAGTAAAATTCTAATGAAGCTCTTCGATGACCTAAGGTAAAGTTTTCTTTTTATTGATCATCATGTAAAGAAAACATCTTTTTTTGAAGTGGATCATTATGATAAATGCTTAGTGTTGTATGATAACTTGTTTGATTATTGATGTAAATCTTATAGTCTATCTTCAAAAATGCAAAGTGTGTGTATTAAGATGAAAAAATTGAAAGTGAACTTTTTATTTCCTTTTTTTTGTTTTGGCTATTTTTGTTTAGTAGTTTTAATTCCCATGACAAATAAGATTAGAGAGAGTTTCCTTAGATGGTTTGGTCACATAAAAACGGCGGACTTCTAATGACCCCGATTAGGATAGTAGATGTATTAGATTTGACTTATGTTAAGAAAGACAGAGTTAAACATAAAATGGCTTGGTTAGAAAATATTAGAAATGACATTTCTTTATTAGATTTAAATGAGAATTTGACTCTTAATATGACATAATGGAGAAAAAAGATTCATGTAGCCGACCCTACGTAGTGGGATAAAGGCTTGATGTTGTTGTTTTAATTCCCTTAAAACTTTGTAAATAAATGCCTAGGATATTACCTTAGCTTTTTATGTTCATACTTTATTCTTGGTGCCCTTATGAAGCTTCTTGGATTGTTGACCACTAATCCTCTCACGGCCACACGCATGTTCCCTCCTAAGACAACACAACGATATACAAGAAACTACCCACTCATGTAACTCCCTCACACGGCACTAAAAACCCCTGACATACTGCTCATCTTCCCCCCATTCGACTCACATAGACAAGAATCGAAGGCCAGAGCTCTCTCTCTCTCTCTCTCTCTCTCTCTCTCTCTCTCTCTCTCTCTCCCTCTCTCCCGCTCTCAATTTCTCTTTGCCAAACACAACAGCCCGCTTAACCCCTCTTCCTCTTGATCGAACCCAGGAGCCGAAGCAGGTGAAGTGCCCAATCGAAGCCTTCCCTCTCTTTGTTTGTACGATCTAATCCCAGTCAACAGTCACTGGTCTCATGCACGCGACTCAGCTCCCGTCTTCGGCTCGTCCCGTGTCCGACCCAAGATTTCAATTGTGCACGCGACCTGCCGTTCCGTCCCCAACCTACAAACGCATGCAAGCCGACCCAATCCCTCAGTCGTTCTCTAGTTTCCGCGTGCAGAAGTCTCAACCCCAGCCACGATCGCTTGCGCCAATCCCACTCCTGCCCCTCGACTTCAACTGCTCGACCCAATCCGCCTACTCGTCTCGTGGCCCGATCCCAACCACAATTTGCGAGCCCTTTCTGTTCTGCCTAGTCTCCTACTCCAACCAAACCAACCACTGCCCCATTTGCCCTACTAATGTTCACTAACTGTGAGTATAAGAATTTATCAGAGGGATGTTTGTATTAAAAAAAAAAAAAGGAAAAATGAGTGAAGAAGAAAGAGAAAAAAAAGAAGAAAAAGAGTAAAAAAAAAAGATATCGCAAATTGAAGGGCCGAAGATTGTGCCAGGACTAATCTTCCTGAAGCCTTTGCCCCGTCGTATCTTTGATCTAGCCAAGCGAATTGAAATGCAAGTACCTTCCCAATCTCCCAGGATGTAAGGAGGTTGCCAAAATTTCAAATGACACACATAATTAATTTCAAATAATTGTTTGTCATTTTAAATGATTTAAAAATAATTAATTGTCATTTCAATTTATTAAAAAATAATAAATTAATTTTTTATTTCAATCCATAATAATAATAATAAAGGTGTGGGGCATATACATCAATAAAACTATAAAAGCTTATTGACACTTGGAACTTTTATATTAAAATTGATCGAAGGAAGAGTCAGCCATATCACATGCATGTCTACTACAATCATCATTGAGTGGTTAAGGGGCGCGAGTCTGTTACATGCACTGTTACTTCATTATTAAGCAATGCAGAAGAAACGCACAACACATTGAAATTTGCTGATCAAGTAAAATGCATTGAGATTTTGGGGTGCTTCTCTTATATACATTGTTACTCCATTATCAAGCAATGAAGAAGAAACACACAACACATTGAAATTTGCTCATCATGCAAAATGCATTGAGATTTTGGCTTCTCAAAATAAGGTTATTGATGAAAAACCATTGATATGAAATATCAATTTGAGATACGTTGCCTGAAGAAAGAATTAGAACAAATGAAAAATTGTATGTTCTCTGTTACTATTCTAAAGGACAATGGAAAGGAGATGACATTGTACTTCTAAGTTCTAAAGCAAAAGCTAGAAGTTGATCTTGTGAAGATGCAATCTTGGCTTGAGCAAGAAGAAGAGTGTGGGCTCCGAAAATTTTGCCCCGGCCTCCGCTCGCACTGTTTACTTTTTCTTCGGCGATGGAGTTTTAACGGATTAAGTTCCGGGGTAAATTTTGAAAGGCAGATGGGTTTATAGATAAGACACTACCCAGAGATTTCATCCTCATTTTTTGAGGACTTTATGATCTGAGTTTTGGTTTCCTATAGGCGCAAGCCCTTATAGTTAATTATCCCCTCTCGATAATGAGAGAGAACTTTCGATTAAGGCTAGTCGTCAATCAGATACGTAGAAAATACGTAGTATCTGGCATATAGTAGCAATATGGGCTTTTGGATTTGAAAAGTTTAGATGTTTGGAAATTTGAAGGGTTGAAAGGTTTGATATTTAAAATTTGAAATTTCACCATCTTGCACTTAAAGCAGATGATGAGGGAATGGATGATAGACCCGATCAAGATCCCATGGTTCCGTCGTCCCGGGCCGTCGTGGTCCCTGGTCTACTTAGTCAAAGGAGGTAGTTGACCCAACCTGACAGAAGGATCCTTGTTGGAAGCCATGGGTTGCTTCGTCCAAGGGGACCTTGTAGACATGGGGTTAATATTTGTCTAAGGGGACAAATTTAAATTCACCTTAGCTAACAGAGGGCTTTGTACCCTATCGATTATATCCTATTGATTCATATTTCAAGGATTTGATGCCATTAAGGAACGCATTAGCTCTGGCCATAACCGGTGTTTCATGATGCCATTTGGCGGCAAAACCACTCGGTTTAGAGGGCCCCGGGTCGTCATAGCCGTTTATCCTGCGGTGCCATTTGGCGGCAAAATCGCCGGTTAGAGGACATGTATCACATCTTTACTGATAGGAGATTGTTTGAGAATAAATCTTAGTGATATTTTCGACAAGACATTTAACTCTATGGGAGCTAAAGTGAATTTTAATTTGTCCACCCGACAAACTATTACGTAGAGTGGATGGATTTTGTTTTAAGTTGTTGATGGATTATTTCGATTTTAAATATCTGGAATTTGGAATGATTTTGGATTTCTTGGACTTTGTGGAGTTTTGGATTTTGATGGGCATTTGGGTGGCATTTGAAATGTTTGGAATGAACCCCTCTGTTTGAGATTTGCATTCAACGCGGCCATCATCGGGGTGTGAGAGAATATTTTCCTTTTATAGCTTGAATCTTGTCGACCCTATCAACTTGCCGATAGGGGATCAGGTTTCGTAGGCTTTGTGCCTTTATTAGTAAATTCTCATTGTTATAGGCGTTGAAGGCCTAATATGAATGCATTAAGACAAATATAACAGTCACCACAACCGTATATTTGTTTGATGGTTCGAACTCTGTTGACTCCTATAGATCCATATAGAAGGATCAGGTTCGAACTTGAATTCACTTATCGACCCGCGCAGCATCCCTAGACGTCACGTGTGTACCAATAGCACGCTCGTCGGGGCTCATACGGGTGTTTTGGGGCATTTTATAATTGTTTGTTAAACCTTGTCGACTCCTACTTACCTGCTTAGGAGGATCGGGTTCAAATTTATTGACACACATAGCATCCATAGACATCATGTGTGTTCCTACAACACGCTCGGCGGGGCCCATGTGAGTTTTATAATTGCATTTACCCCTTTTGTGTACATATGTGTATACAAATTATAGCGGATGTGCGGGGGTAGTTTGAAAATATTTGTAAACGCCTTCTGTCCGCTTGAATGGATGTTGCGGATCCGGTGGTGTGACATTGTAGTCTTATGGACGCCTTCTGTTTGCTCATTTGAGTGTTGCAGATCCGGTGGCGTGGCGTAGTAGCTTCTGAATTGAGTTGTTTGCTGCTTTGTACAAGTAGACTGTTGTGCACTACTTGCATAATTTATGCAAGTAGATTGTAGTACACTAACGAATCTCCTGCTTTGGGCTCGTAGGAGTTTGCATTTGTTGTAGTCATTTGGTATTTTGTTTGCAGATGATGTTTCATGTGTATTGCGGGTCTCCCACAAGGACCTGTAAGAACTTGCATTTGTTGCACACATCCTGTGTTTGATTGTAAGGGATCAATGTACTTGCTCAACATTGAATAGTGACTGATCTTAAAGGTGCCATAATGTTCATTTCCTTCTGCTGCCATAGCTTGTGAACACTTGTGTTTATCATATACCTACTCACCATGTTTATTGGTAACTTGTTGCACCTATGAAGGGTCTTTGACAACGGTCTATAAGAATTTGTAATTGTTGCAGTCCTGCGACATTTCTGCTATCGCTACTTGCAAGTAGATCAACATGCTTGTTTGCGAATCGACAGTGATTGATTTGCTTACGGATGTTAGCTTCAAACACATGTGACTGTTGATAAATCACCATATTCACTGCATATTCCTTGTATGCATTATGACCCTTCATTCTCACTTTTGAGTAACATATAACATACATTGTGGGCTTTTGTCGTCATTTGCTTGTTAGCTTTCCTCCAGTGTTGGTTGGTATTAGCCAATGTTTAAAATTGCGTATTCGAGTATTGAGGCGTTTTTCATTCGTGAGGCGAGGCGTAAGCCTCAAGGCGTTTTGAGGCGTAAGCCTCAAAATCAAAATTCTCAATATTTTATCGGAAGCTTCATTATTTTTGATTGT